CGTACAATAACAAAACAAGCCGAGCACGAGTGGTGGTGGAGAACGCTTTTGGCAGACTGAAGGGCAGGTGGCGATGCTTGATGAAAAGAAACGACTGCAAGATGGACAAGATCAAAATCCAGGTGGTAGCATGTTGCATATTACGTAACCTTTATGAAAGTAATGATGAGTACAGAGACGAATGGACTGCCTTACCGGCGACCCAGCTTTATGAGGCATCTGAACAGCGTGTAAATTGTACATTGTAAACATTTTGACAATAAAGCTGATCTTTTGTACAGTGCTTTTGTTTCTCTCTTTTATTTTCCAGTCAAGACAGGCAACATTACAATAGTGTACAGTGTGGCAATATAATAACAATAAACTGTGCCGGGTGTGTTGTATGCACAGTAAATAGGCTCAGCAGCAAACCCACCTTTTATTATTTATTATATATCTTCCTGAGACCCACTGCATCCGTCTGCCATAAACACTATGGAAACCTACATGTTAGTTTCGGCCCATAGTGGACTCCATTTTGTGTTGTGTAAAATGGGGGGGGGGGAATTAAAAGTTTGCAAATCCCCATGTCCTCCTCAGAGGACAATCATAAAAACATTTAGTTTTAGGTCAAATAATATTTAAAATGATATAAATTATCATATTTGTGTATGTGCCCCTGCCATTCCTCCACAAGGTTGCAACATTGATGATAAATAAATGACAAATAAAGCTTTGCCAGTTTATAACCGATGAAACATGATGGTATCAGAATAATCACTTACATGTGATGTATAGGATGCTACACAGGTCACTAAAGATAAAGTGTCAGGAGAAATAAGCAAGATACAGGATCTGTTTAACAGTAAATAGAAGTTCACATTTTTTATGTAAATAAAATAGAAGTTGTACATGTAAATTAACATTATCAATATAAAATAAAGTGTCAGTTGTATCAAGACTATATAATAACAGTAATAACAATAATATAAAATGAACTGGTGAGCATCTTGTCCTCTGTTTCCTGGGCCTTGGTGAACAGCACCATCTGATCCCCGTGCATCGACTCTTTCACCACGGCACGCCGGTCCTCCAACGCCTGGGCGGTGTCAAAGAAATTCGCATCCCGTGTCCGCTTTCCTAAGAGGGGAAAATAAGCAAGATACAAGATCTGTTTAGTCGCCATGTAGTTTTACAACATACTAGGAATGTTTTTTTTGTATTTTCACAAATAGAATTAAGGTTTCACAAATCTGAAACTGTGTTATAAAGAATGTTTAGACCCTCTGGGATAATCCAGTCCAGATTTGATGAGTCTAGCTATAGTGGTTTTAGATCAGGACCTGGTCTAATGTGGTCTACATGTAAAAAAAGCACTGAAATCTCCCTTTTTTGTATTTTCACAAATAGAATTAAGGTTTCACAAATCTGAAACTGTGTTATAAAGAATCTTTTGACTCTCTGGGATAATCCAGTCCAGATTTGATGAGTCTAGGTATAGTGGTTTTAGATCAGGACCTGGTCTAATGTGGTCTACATGTAAAAAATGCACTGAAATCTCCCTTTTTTGTATTTTCACAAATAGAATTAAGGTTTCACAAATCTGAAACTGTGTTATAAAGAATCTTTTTACTCTCTGGGATAATCCAGTCCAGATTTGATGAGTCTAGGTATAGTGGTTTTAGATCAGGACCTGGTCTAATGTGGCCAGGATGCGAAAAAGCACTGAAATCTCCCTTTTTTGTATTTTCACAAATAGAATTAAGGTTTCACAAATCTGAAACTGTGTTATAAAGAATGTTTAGCCTCTCTGGGATAATCCAGTCCAAATAAATCGGCTTTGCAGCGATTTAAGAGGTTCAAACACGGAGGATTGTTCCTTTTTGAAGAGTGCTTCATGTATGCTTGAACTTTGTTTAATGTTGTTGAGGCAAGTTTTCTTACCGGAAGTCATGTGACCTCTAGCCCGGATGTTTACAATGTTTGTGAGAGAGTAAAAAGGCGCGAAAATTTGTAAATGCCGGTCTAGGCGAATACGTTTTCACACTGTTTCATAATTGTACCAAGAAGGAAATAAACATGATTGTGAACATCAGTTCGATGCGTAACGTTCTTTCAAGACAAAGTTACAGTGTGTGTACCTTTGCGTTTGGTTGCTGGTAAGGGGGACGACCAAGCGCTGTGATCTAGAATGCAAAGCTCGCTTGTTTCCAATCCCGAGAGTTGTCCATCCTTGCCTGAAACAGACGATTAGTGCCATGAGTTAGTGAAGCAAATTACAGAAACACTGCACAGTTATTCACAAGTCAAAACGTTTTCATAGCGGCCGAGAATATCTAGCTAGCTAGATGTAGCTAGCTCGGGGCCGGTGTTAGCCTATTCAGCCTAGCATGGCTAGCTTGATCTACTGAGCAAATAAAAGTACATCTGAGACCATTATTGTGCAGATTAAAACCCCAGTGCATGTAGTTGATTTCACCTTCGTCGTGGTCGTCATCGTTGGCCACTGAATCCGCCGTTTGTAGTCCTGCCTGAGTTACTTTATTTTTAGCCGGTGTGCCGTGGGGCTGTGCACGATTCCCAGGTCGAGTGAAAGCTACTGAACTGGCTTCAGTAGCATTCCCTGGGTCGCGTCCTCGGCGTAGATCTCCAGAAGCGCCGACACCTCCTCATCATTTCTTGATGCTTGCCATAACTGCTTTCAAAAACAAATTACTCTCTGTCGGTGCGCTGGGTTTTTGTAGCGAGGAAAAACAATGGCGGCTCTCCACAACATTTTCACAGTTGTACGGGGCGTGGTTTGCAATTCGCCCAGCCAATCAGCACTGGGGCACTTTTTACCCACAGGAAAGTACGATCTCTCAGCGGGCACTAAAAATGGGGGTAAAAGTTCTCGAGATTAAGTACGATTTTTGGTGTGAACGCGACATAAGGGGTACTAACGGAACTAAACGCGAAAAGTACGGTGAAAAGTACTCCGGTGTGAACGCGGCTAATGCAAAATCCCAGGAACTATCGGAACTATTCCTGGGAAAAGTACTCCGGTGTGAAAGCGCCTATTAGTCTGTGTTCTTGTTTTGAAGTGACAGTTGTTTTGTTTGGAGATGACATTTAAGCCTGCTTGGGACCACAGACTGTAGGATTTTATTTGCAGCGACTAAAAATATTGTTTTGGACAGATTAAAGGTGGGGTAGGTAATTTTGGAGAAACCAGCTCGAGTGCGCTAGAATTTGAAAATACACAACCGGAAAAAATCTGCCACTTCCATACAGAGCCCCTCCTCCAACACACACGAACGCACACATGACCAATGAGGGCACGAGATAAGTTTGTGCACAGATGGAAGGCTGACAGGCAGGTAGGCCATCCAGTTATTTTAGCCGGGCCGGCTAAAATGATTGGTCGTGCTTTTTACAGTACTACGGCTTCCACAGATGAATTATTTTTATGGATTTTTTGTCAAAGCAAAGATATTCATTGCTATCGGGATGTTAAGAGCATTCCATGGAATATAACAAAAAGTGTATCTCGAGCCGGTTTCTCAAACTTACCTACCCCACCTTTAAGTGAAATGTACGGAGCCCCTAAAGGGACATGAAAAAAAAAAAAAAATAGAGAGTGAAAAAAAAAAGTCAGGATAACGGGTTAGTATCTCGTGCGCACGAGAACGTTTCTCGTGCTCACTAGGTCCACCGTTTCCCCGCAGCGAGGCTCCCCCCGTTGACAGTTTACGTGGGCTGGGCTGGGTGAGATTCCCGGGCTGATTTTTAGTCCCAGTCCGCCCCTGCACAGAGCGGAGCTGAGCAGATCACACACACACATATCCGGACCGGACATCTCCTTCATAAAACTAATAAAAGGGGAGTAATCGGGCAGTTCGGTGTGTGTGTGTGTGTGTGTGTGTGTGTGTGTGTGTGTGTGTGTGTGTGTGTAGAGGTGTGTGTGGTTAAAACTTCTCTGAGTTGCACGTCCCGCTGTCTCCTGGAGTGACCACACACCCCTGGCCGAAATGTCCTTAAAATGAAGTCTGAGTACGAAATATATCTCAAATAATGTATGCACTGTCATTTCCCCCCTTCTGTTTTTTCATGTCCCTTTAGGGGCTCCGTAGAAATGGGATAATATCCAACTTATGATTTTTCGGCCATTGCTGTTGTTGTCGGTGTGAGCTGTGAAGGGTTTCCGCCATGGATGTATAATAAGAACCGCGCGGTTTGGCTTTATGAAGCAGGCCCGCAAACGGTTACGTCATGACGCAAACGATGACGCAATGACGCAGCACCAGTCGGACTCTGGGCGGTGTGAAAAGAGCCGGAGCTAAACCGAAGAACCGGTTCTGAACCTGAAAAGCTCTAGCACGGAGCTTGAACCGGAGTTGCGTTGGTGTGAATGAGGTAGAAGAGAGAAACAGTCGGAGTAATTTCAAATGGCGTGCTCAAAAAAGAGAAAGGTAGACAGCGAAAACAGAGCATTTAATGACATTTTCTCTTACTGGACCTCTTTGAAATGCAATTGAATGCCCCTGCATTATAGCAACAACAACAATAATAATAATAATAATAATAATAATAATAATAATAGCAATAATAATTAGGAGGGGGGGCGCGGCTGTTCTTATGTTCTCTGAGGGGAGGCTCAGCTTCCCACACTTTGAAAAACCCTGCTCTAGAGTCTGGATATCATCGTGGTCCAGCAGGTTAAAAAGACAGATCTACAGAACACTGCTGAATACACACGATGGATGAGGATGGAGATCCTCTGTGTGTGGGCCTTCAGCTCCTGCAGAGGAACCTCCAAACTGCTGCACCCTGTTCCTGCGCGTTGATGCTGAGTATACATCTTGTTCAACTGTATCTTTGGCAAACACCTTATAATGTCAGTTTACAGGGACATAGATGCAAAAATCTATCACCAGTTACCATGGCAACTGCATTAATACGTCACAACATGAAGCTGTGAGCACGTTCATATAGGGGGCGTGGTTTCAGTGAGAGACTGCTGCTGAGAAGCTCGTGCAGAATCGCGTCCACAACTGGGGTTTGTGCAGCTGGCCTGCTCTGGTTTCGGGCTGTTATTCACGCAGAAATGTTGGAGTAGAAGAAGAAAGCAACAGGGTGGGGGGGCTTTTTTTGGAAAAGGAACCCGACTGGCTTTGTTCTCCTCTCCTCACAAAGGAAGATCCCAGGTGTACAGTGCGAACATGGAGCCATGAATGCCCCGCGGCTGAAGGAAAACAGGCGTCTGATGGAGAAGCTGCATTGTGGTGCGTTTATGGACCGCACTGTGGAAGGAAATGAACAAAACCCGAGGTAACAGGAGAAGAAAGGAATCAACAATCCACTGCCGAAAAACGATCGTTTATGCAAGTTGGGCAAGAATTCTTAAAAAAATGTAAATACGCCATTTTTTATCAGAATGTAATCAAATAACTTCCGGGTAAGTTATGAAAGGCTTTTGCGAAGTGTGTTGTTGATCGTTTGTTGTTGTAACACTGGCCTCTTGTATGTAGACTATAGGGTTCTAAATACTGATAAAGCCTTCATCAAATGCATTGTAATGTACTACAACATGGCAGTATCCTACACTGAATGTCTTTTATAATATGTTATACAAATGAAATAAACAAATCACAACATTTGGTCAAATATGCCATCACAACTGGCACGTGTTATGTAAACAAATAGACCTATTTAAAAAAAATAATAATAATTAAAGTAGCACAAGAGACTTCAAAAATTACATGTGGCCTAAATGCAATTAACCCAACAATTAAATCATATCAGAATGGTATTCTAGATCAGTGGTTCTCAACTGGTCAGGCCTCGGGACCCACTTTTTCCCTTGTCAATGAATCGCGACCCAACATTTTGAACCGCTCAAATCTATTCAACAAAAAATCGTGCTGTAATATATACGCTTTTCACCTATTTTATGCCATTGTTTGTTTTTCACTTTGTTCTGATAGCTGAACTTGCTGCTCCACATAGAGTGAAGAGTAAAGAGGAGATCTGTGTGAATGACTTTAAATTGTGGGTAAGGGTAGATAGCTCCCATTGTTCTGTGACCTGTCAATCATCAAACCGGGGGTCCATTTTTTTTCTTCAATCTTTTTTCCCTTCACTCACATCCGCGACCCACTCGAAACGGGTCCGCGACCCACCAGTTGAAAACCACTGTTCTAGATGATAATGTATCTGCTAAATGTGTATGCATTTTTATGATGGGCCCCTTTGGATCCAGGGTCTGGGGACTTCATGGCGTACAAGGTGCATGGCCAGTAGTGTTTGTAATAATGAAGCATCATTGTAATACTCACAGAGCAACTGCCTGTTTTCACCAGTGGTGTAAAAACATTTGTCCATACAGTAGTAAAAAAAAAAGGGGGCCTGTGTTTTTCTCTAGATGGATCTTTGTTTTATTGCCATTATAAATGAATAAATCCCATAAATTGTACTATGAAGGTTCAGTTGTGTGTATGTACACAGATTTGAATTGTCTTTTCTTTTTCTCCTGAGATAATGCTAACTGAAAACGTACAAATGGATGAGGAGGAGTTATCAGCAGCTACGTTGGAATCCATGAAAGCACCACAGAGCGGCTGTAGTGTGAAGGGATGTGTGTGAGACCACGCAGGACTTCTGTTGTGTTGTTCGTGTGCTTCATCAATGGATTGGTCTGCTAGCTTAGCCCTGATGGGGGGTGGTGGCAGCAACTACACCGCTGGGCCCCCGGGTCCGAGCTTCACCCACCAGCTGAACACCGCCTCACCTGTGGTGCCAAGGTGAGTCCCTCTGTCACCACCTTCACATCTTTGCATGTGAGTGGCCCCTGAAGGTAGCAACTGGTTGGAGTAAGTTGTAGTTAGCAAGTTATCCACAATTTCCACTAATCCTTAAAAAAGGAATACTGTAGCTAGTAGCTACAACGTCCTGCACCTGTAGCGTCCATACGCCCTTACCTGGAGCTGCAGTCGCCTTAAGGTGACACAAACACTTTTTTTTATACCTGAAATGTAGAGTGGACTGAGATTAGGAAAAAAATCAGCCGACAATGTCAGTCGTGTCATAAGAAATTCCTGAAAACAACTCCCTCAGGACTTTAAACAAAAAATATCTCGAATATTTGGCAATTGAATCCATCAGGGTATAAGGTAATACCAAATTCATGGCATTGTTGTAAATAAAGGTAGTGTGATGATTTTTTATTATTTCGGAATACATAACCCTTTCTTTCTTTCATTAATTTAATGTAAGTCTTGACACAAATACCTACTATAATAGGTTAACCTTTTTTCGTACTTTAGTGTTAAGATCCATGTGTATCTTAGTCCCTTGAACACGAACATTACATCACATCAAAGAGGCCCTATTATGCTTTTTGGGGTTTTCCCTCTCCTGTAGTGTGTTCTATGGGTTTCTGTGCATGTCAATGGTCTGCAAAGGCTGAAATCCCTGTGTTCCCTTCTCATAAATCAAACAGATGTGTAACAGCGTGGTCTGATCTGATCTGCTACATAGGAATCTGACACAGCCTGTTTAAAGTTCTTATTTGAATAGTTGTGCTGTCACTGACCACTGTTTCCTCTGGTTAGAGACACATTTAGCTGTTACAGCTGAATATGCCCAGTGCTGTTCCCCCCCCCAGTAGCTCTGCCGCGGTCAAATATGCCTAAACGCTCCGGTGCAGCAGCAGAAGGGAGAGGCCTCCTGTGATGCTGCCTCTCAGCCTGGGGTTTTATACGCCCAATTCCAAACCGACCCTACACCCTCCAACTCTGGGACAAAGTGAACTCTGTTTCTTGTCACACCCTCAGCTGAATGAGGCTCCTTATTTAAGGTGGAGGGTGTAAACACAGCAGCAAGTTTGTGAGGACCCCCCCCCCCGCTCTCTGGCAGAAGCAGGAACTGTCGTAACTTTTACATAAATGTGAAAAACATGAACTGTACTGTGTTGACCAAAAATGATGTCTAAAACTGTGACTAGGGCATTAACAGAATAGCTCAAAGAGTATGGTAACTCCAGCTTTATGCTCCCCTGTATCACACTGTATCATACTGATATCATGCCTTGATACTGTTTTGTTGATGAGATTTGAAAAAACTCACATCCAATGTCTGGTAATATGCATATTCTTATGAAGATCACATGATTTTTTAAGTTTCAATCACAGGTTTGCCTATTTATTACATTAAGTTACTGTACACCACATTCACAATTTGAGAGCTGCTTTTGTCAAATAACAAGGTTATTTGACAAAAACATGCATATATGCAAGGTCAATTGTTTAAATTGCTTTTGGTACATTTCATTTAATTTCAAACCTTTATTTATCCAGATTGTCCCTTGAGATCATAGATCTCTTTTTCAAGGGAGACCTGCAAAACTACAAAACTACAAAAACTATACTCTGAAATACATTAGTTTTAAACCAGTATTTTCCCTTGTAATGTATGGTTATTGTATATTTTCTATTTTGAACCAATGGTTAGACTGATAAAATGTATGTTTTGGAATCATATTTATGATATTTGGTTAGTGTTGGTGTTTTTAGCTTTGAATATTTATGCATAATACATGAACTCTCACCAATTCTAGATGCACTAGTAATATTTTAGTAAATACTTATTGTTGAGTGTCTGGGCCCCTATTCTTAAGCTTTAGATAATTTATTGGGATGTCCTTTTCACATATCTCCATTATCTCCTATGATTGTATTGTATTTTTAATTTTTCATATTCCTGAGGTATTTCATAAAGTTCTGTAAGTAAATGTAGGACCATACTGTTTCCAGATTGCAGATTGTGCAATGATTTAAGCCTCTTTCTTTCTTTCTTTTGGTCCTAAAGGGTTGTTTCCATAGTGACCAGCCTAGTGACCGCCACCACGGAGGCCACAGTGGGAAACACAGGAAACACGTCCACATTTGGCGGACAGAGAGGGGGCGAGCTGAGCGCGGCGTCGCCCCCGTCGGTGCTGAGCGCGGCGGAGAGTAACTCGGTCCTGCAGGGCGTCGCCGTGGCCATGCAGGCCCTGGTGCTGCTCTGCATCTTCCTCCTTTCCAGCCTCGGAAACTCGGCGGTGGTCATCGTCATCATCAAACACAGACAGCTCCGGACGGTGACCAACGCCTTTATCATGTCGCTGTCGCTGTCCGACTTCCTCACCGCTGTCCTGTGTCTGCCCTTCTCTTTCGTCATGCTCTTCAGTAAGGACGGTACCTGGATGTTCGGTGACGGTTTCTGCGTGGCCAATGGATTTTTCAACACCTGCTTTGGCATCACCTCGACCCTGACTATGACTTTGATTTCCTTCGACAGGTACTATGCCATCGTCAGACAGCCCCAGGCTAAAATCGGCCGCCAGAAAGCCACCCAGTTGTTGATAGCTGTGTGGCTAGCTGCGGTCATTTTCTCCCTGCCTTGGTATCTGTTGGTCCGTAACCCTCCGGAAATCCATAAGCGGGGTTTCTACCACTGTATGTATGTGTTCCACTCCGGGACCTCACGCATGGGGACTACATATAGCATCTGCCTTATCGTCGTGTGTTACTTACTGCCCTTCTCCCTCATGTGTTTTTGTCATTATAACATCTGTAAGACGGTTCGTCTCTCTGAGATCCGAGTCAGGCCCGTCACCACGTATGCATACTTGCTACGATTTTACAGTGAGATGCGAACAGCCACCACAGTCCTCATTATGATTGTTTTCATCATTTTTTGTTGGGGTCCATACTGTTTAATGGGGTTGGTTACAGCATTGGGAGACTACACATTCAACCCTGCGATGGACACAGTGGCTATCTGGCTAGCCTGGGCAAACGGAGCCATCAACCCCCTGATCTACGCCCTGAGGAACCCCAATATATCCATGCTAATGGGGCGGAGCAGAGAGGAGGGCTATCGGACCAGAAATATTGGTTCATACCTTTCCAACCAAACGCAGAACCGCGAGGCTCGGATTAACCAAGCGGAAAGGATAAGGGACCGCTACGTGACTCGTATAGGGGTGAATAACAACAGCCGATTGTCCAGCTCGAGTCCTGCTAAAGGAGGCGAAGTGGCGATGTGGGCGTGTAAAAACCCCGCTGTGTTCTTCTGCAGGGACGCTCAGCCCGACACGGCCACACTCGCCAACTCTGACAGTGCTCCGAAGATGAAGACAGCTGACACCAGCCTGTGACATTCTGAGAGAATCCTTGTTTCCTCTGATCTGTATTTGCTGCTGCCACCAGTTTGTGGCAAGTTAGGAAATACCTGATAGTATTTATGTGTATTCAGTACACACACTCGGAAATGTTTAGGACTCAATCCACCGTTTGATCAGATTTTGTTCCAGGAATCAAAAGGATTATTTTAGCTATTCATGTATTACTATTATATTATGCTACACTGTGTGAAGACAAAGGTCAGGACTGTGAACACTTTATTTTTGACTTATTTTATACAAGAACGTCTGGAATTCCCTCATTGATAAAGCATGGAGCGAAATGCAAAGCATTCGTGTTAAAAACATGACAAGCTTGTTATTGTGTTTTCATTTCGTATGTAATTCAAAAGCTAGGTCTTTCACATTTGAAAGAACCACAGTGAATTTCATCCACAAATCCTGGACAGCAGGTGATACTGCAAGCCTGGTTGTTATTTGCAATGCTGGGTTAGGGTTAGGGTAAAGGTAAGGGTAAGGGTTATCTCAGATCTCCAAAGCACCTGTCAGTATGTACAGTTACCATTCCAGGGACGTGTTCAAACCACCAAAGGTTATCTCCCTAACACTAACTAGTTTTCAGTTGCATACATTTAACCCTAGACCCTAGGAACCCTAACTCTAAGAAGTTGTATACCAGAAACTGTGAATATGAGTAGTCATATGTTTGTTTTGGACATGTTCTTATTAAATATTCAAACTCATACCTGCGGATATAATATAAAAATGACTATATTTTGTATTACCCTTGTAATCATGACACAGGACCAGTTAGGGTGCCTCTAATCCCCCACGTCCACTAATGGGAGTACCATTTGAGTTCCGTGTTTAGGCTAGTGCTGGTTCAGAGTTGGGTCAACTTGCAAACCTCTTAAGAACCCGTTAGCTAAAGCCCGAGAGGAGCCACGTCATGACGTCAAGGGGTAAGCTGCCTTTCCTACAAATGCCCGAAATTTTTTCCTGACAATGACGGAATGCGTCCAAGCTGTGCTCATGTTACTCTCACTCTTACAAAACAAGATTAAATTGCATTCTTGAAAAAACAGCAATCTTTGTTTTTGCCTTCAGCTATTGCTGAATCTCTTCAGGTACGAGAAGTACGAGAACATAGATCCATCCTCTGTGAGCCACTGCTTCACCTTTGCTGCATTCGTCTTTGTTTGTGTCGCTGTTAAATAAAACTTGGGGTTTGTAATTGCTGTTGTTGCTCATGTTAATCACGCCCGAGCCTTTGACCGTAACTTCTGACGCTAGCCTCTGACGCTAGCCTCTTGACGGTAGCCTCTTGACGGTAGCTTCTTGACGGTAGCCTCTGACGCTAGCCTCTGACCAACCCAGTCTCACGAAATGTATCTATTGATTCGTGTTCACCAACACGATTTCCCCATTTTTTTCATGTCACACAGAACGATTTTAAAAGCAATGTAAATAATAACAAATTAGAAGGAAAAAAAGATTTAGAAAAAAAAACAGATTTCAGTATTCTGACACAGAACGATTTTAGAAGCAATGTATTTCTATTGGTAGTATGTTTCGTGCCTGCACCAAATAATAACAAATTAGAAGGAAATGAAGATTTAAAAAATACAGATTTCAGTATTCTGAGGCTCTGAGCCCCATTTCTTTTCCTCGCGGACGGCAAAAAAAGTCCGACATTATACAATTTAAAATAAAAACAATAATCGTGGCTTGATATTGAGTAAGAAAATGTTTTTATGAACCACACAGCTTCTCGTTTTTAAATAATTTAGTGACTATTACACGAAATGCCGTGAGACTGGGTTGCTCTGACGCTAGCCTCTTGACGGTAGCCTCTGACGGTAGCTTATTGACGGTAGCCTCTGACGGGAGCTTCTGACGGTAGCCTCTGATGGTAGCCTCTGACGGTAGCCTCTGACGGTAGCCTCTGACGCTAGCTTCTTGACGGTAGCCTCTGATGTAGGTGACTCTTGATGCTGACGCGGCAGAGTTTGGGCTAAAGTAAAACCAAGTTTTCGGGGCTTAATGTTGGCGCCTCTGCTCTTAACCAGTCCTGGAACAGCCACAGCGGAAAAGCACTTTACGGAAGTCAGGGTCATAAAGTTTAAAGTTTACAAAGGGAGGACATCAGGGTGGATAAACAATGCCAACAACTGCTTGTTGTAGATGGAGACAAGAGACAACTGTGACTTATTTTAGCTTACATTCTGTTTGTTGCCCACAACAAAACCATGCTGCCATGTAGCTCCAGTGGTAAAAGCTACTGATTTAGTCAGTGACCATGATTCCTTTCAGCTGGAATATTCAGTTTTAAAGATGCGTTTGAACACCTGTAAGCAGAGCATCTAAAAAGCTTTAGAGCTTTAGATTCTGAAAATACTTCAATTCAGATGCACACGTTGGAATTACACTTCCTAGTTTGAAACCTTTACAGTGGAAAACATTGATCATTCATGTTTGAGGTTGATGCAACAAAGCCAAAACTTGATCCCCGAAGCATCAAATATGATTACATTATCATATAACATTAAGGTTATGAAGAGATGCAATTTCAAATGTGAGAATTTGAATTAAACTGAAGTTGAGTTGAGGTTTGCCCGGTTCCACAACTAGTGCCCTGGAACAGCTAAATAAATAGTTTCCTGCTCAGATTTGTATGTGTCTGAGTATTTTCAAAAGCACTATTTAAAGGAAATGTATTATTATGTTTTAGTTAAATGTATACAAAATTGACTACTGTGAAAGTGAGATAAAGGCAAGTTTTAGAAGCATTTTAGAGCAAACCAAAGAAATAAACATGTCTTTAGGTAAGAAAGGGACTTCATCTGGCTGGAGCGGCGACAACCATCCAAAACAAGTATTGTTGTAACTAGAAAATGCATTTCCTGCTGAAAATGCGTGCGAATGCTGTAAACTGTGTACATTTGTTGCTGAATCTAGCTGAAAATGCAGAAAAAGCTGAATATGTTATTAGTTGAATGGTCTCTGTAGCTGCTTTTAGCTACAAAAACCAAGTAAGTGTGTTGCTGAACTTAGCGGAGAAATGCAGAAAAGTGAAATGATTTGAATCAAAATTGTTACAGCTCAAATGCATTGCAATGACTTTGTTGAAAACTTCAAAGTGAAATGTTAAACTGGAAGAGTAGGAAAAATAGTGAAGAAGCTTAATATTTAAACGAAAATGTCTTAAAAGGTATAAACAACTAAATGTATAGCCTCAATGTCCTGAAATAGCTGAATAATTTAATAGTTGAATGGTTTCTGTAGCTGAAAGTAGGCTGAAGGAGTTACATATCAGATGTAAGTAGTAGTGAATGAATGTGTATTAACCTGTTAAGCCCTGAGCCTGTTTTTCAGGCCTCAGGCTCGAAAATGACATTCCCAGAACAAATGACCATATCTTCCCTTCTAAAAGGGTTAAATTAATAATCTTTTCTCTCAAAGTAATGATAAACCTGTGAGTTGGATGTAGAAAAGTCAGAATCAATATAGATGTTTTTTATTTTAAAGAAAATTCAGATTTTACATAGTAAAAAACTGTAAATTATAGTGTCCGCCCAAAAATTATTTTTTACTTATAGTGAATACCACCCTTGGATGATGGGTTAGTAGACTAAAAGCTTTAGGAATCCAAAGTACAACATATAATAAGTACCCTGTATCAAGATTGATGCAAAACAAGTGACATTTGATCTTTTTAGAGAGGTTTAGAAAAAAGAAACCACTTCTGGGGTCATTTGGGTGGATTTTCCATATCTCTGGCCCCCCTTGCTCGATTTTGATGGTTGACACCTCTTTCTGACCGTTAGAGCCAATAGAATCGAAGGGGGAGTCCCCCACACACACACGTTGTGAAGAGAAGAGGTGGGGGCTTCGCGCATGTAATTTTGCATCAGAGTGGACCTATCTCTAGCTTTGACATCTGGAAACGGAAAAGCAGTTTTAATGCTTATGGATTATCAGAAATCATTTCAAAGGGACACAGACACATTAGATCAGGCATCCTCAAAGTCCGGACTCCGGTCCTGATCCGGACCGAACCACAACTGTCTCTGGACTCTGAGCAAATTATACTTTTCATATGTATTATCTGTATTATCTGTGTTATCTGCGAGACATCGCCACAACGCAACGAGTCAAAATTATCCGCTATGTCCACTGCATACAGCGCTTTGCATGTCAGACGGTTCCACTGTCTGTGTGTGTGTCTGTCAACGCTTTGGTCTAATCACATTCAGCATCCCGTCAGCGTTTTTTCCCCCCACCAACAGTAGTCTTCGCGGAATGCGGGTGGGAAAAATGCGTGTGTCGTGTCGTCTCTTTCAACCTGTCTGAGTCAGAGCGAGAGTTTAAAAAAAAAAAAGTCAGAGCGAGAGTTAACAGCTCATCTAGTTGCATCTGTACTGTAGCTAGTAGCCTAGTTTCACCTACCGGGGTGGCATGGGGTGGCAACTGCCACCCTAAAAATAGGCCTTGCTACCCCAGCTGCCACCCCAGTTGGCAGCTTTGTTTTGAAAGAAAAGTTGTGGCTCATCTGACATTTATGAGAGAAAGTCTCTAATGTCCGAGTGCAAGTGAATGCAGCACAAGATGCACGTCTTGTAACCCCTCCCCCGTCCCTGGCGCGAGCGTGGAAATATGATTGGCGGAGATTTCATTTCAACGGGACGGCGCAAAACGAGAACCATTCGGACCCAGGCAAGTACTGAAGGAATGAGGTATTTGCGGTCTACAATGACAGAGAAGAGACTGTCAAGTTTGGCTGTACTCAGCATTGAATCAAAACGCACTAAAGCTGTTGATCTTAATAAGTTTGTGAGGCGTTTTGCTGAACAAAATGGTAATCGCCGCATTCAGCTGTAATAGACATGTCAACTTGATACTCTGCTCACGGATGAGCATACAAAACTGTTAAGCCAGTGGCGAGCCGTCAGGGCCCTCTAGGCCCTCTGTGAGGGCCTAAGATATTCCAAAAAATAATATTTAAAAACATTAAAAAAAATAATATTTTTTTTAAATATATATTTTTTTAATATTATTTTTGTTATATTTTTCATTAGTTTTACCGAAAAAAAACTTGATTTAATAAAATAACATTTCCAAATAAATAAATCCTTTGAATCTGCCTGTTCGGTCTCTGTTTGAATGTGAAGGGTTACATGAAAGAAGGTCTGGCCCTCTCTACGATTCACAGAGGGCCCGCTATAGTAACTGAACGAGAGAGTAATGTCAAATGACAGTACAATTGACCAATCATATCTTCCCTCTAAATGGGTGGGTTTTATTATCGCGGACTAGATGACAAGTTCCGCCCGCTGTGAAACTTTTCTTGTTTCCATAGCAACAACAACTTCCTGTCAACAGCATGAACTCGCCTTCAAAATAAAAGCATGCCAAATTACACTTAAGACATACAACGGCAACGAAAGTAAGAAACACAATGCAATATCATTTTCAATGTCAAAGAACACAAATTGGGTTCACAGGTGTTGTTTTGTGTGGTAGAGGGTCGCTGTCATTGATGCGTTTTGCACCCTGGGCCGTTGTTTTGATATTCCGCTGAAGTATACGCTGTGACGTAATAACTATTTTTTTTTCTTTTTTCGAGGGAAGGGGTGGGGGTCAGAGGGCCTAGGTATAAAGCTCACGGCTCGCCACTGTGTTAAGATGATGACCTTACATGTGTAAATATATTTTTTTCTTTGTGGGGGTCTGCCCCCAAAAA